GGCTTAACTGAAGTCTCATCTTAACGGAGTCTTCAAGGTTTTGTGTCACAAAGCATTCCCAGGCTGGAATAATTTCTTTTCAAATACCATATGATAAATATACCACTTACTGTCTGCACAGCTTATTTTTGCAATTCCATAATCCTGCCTTCACTGATACCAAGGAAGCCTTTTCAGACCCTCTCCAGAGCCAGGTACCCATCTTCTGTGTTCCCACAGCACCTTGTACTTACCTGTTGTAGCACCCAGTACCCTGCATTGCAGTTATCTTTTTATGTTCTCCTGCCCAACCCCTCACGTACACTTAATGGAAAGTGTCTGTCTCATTGTTTTTCTGTATCACTAAAGTACAGCACAGTGACAGGTATGTAGTAGAATTCAGTATTTGTTTGTTAAATCAATATGTAGGTTTTAAAGTTGCATAAGGATATATTAGGTACCGTTGTGTATTCTCGTTTTTACTCCTCACAACAATCTTTGTGTATGATATGTAAAGTAGATATTACCTTCAATTTACTTTAAGGAATTAGCTCACACAGTTGTGGAGCTGGCAAGTCTAAAATCTCTAGAACAGGATGATAAGCTGGAGACTCAGGTAAAAGTTCATGTTGTAGCTCAAGTCTGAAGACAGTTTGGAAATAGAATGGCCTCTTCCTTGGGGAAGCCTCAGTTTTTTTCTCTTAAGGCCTTAAACTATTGGGTAAGACCCACCACATATGGAGGGTATCTACTTTACTCAAAGTCTGCTGATTTAAATGTTAATTTTATCTAAAAAAATACCTCTATAGCAACATCCAGACTGGTGTTTGACCAAATATTTGGGTACCATGGTACCATGGCCTAGCCAAATTAGTACATAAAATTAACTATCACAGAGGGTGATAGCCAGGGCTTAAGCCCTTCCAAATTTCTTTGTCTCCTGCCTTTCACCTCTGCTTCCTTGTATGAAAATTTTATTGTTCTTTAGACAGAGACAGCAAATGCCAACAACATCTTGACCTACATTTGCCCATCTTCATCATTTCACAGGAATGATTTTTCTTAAGAATGAATGAAATAATCCATGTAAAGTACTTATCACATAACACCTATCATATAGTAAATAGTTACTAAGTTCTAGTTTCAATAATTGTTATTGTTAGTAGTAGTAGTAGTAGATATGGTAGTGGGAATAGTGGTTTTCCATTAATTCCAAATTAAGGCATCCTAGATAAAGATTTTAACCACCTTGGCTTTGATCATGGGCCCAATCTTGAGGTAATTCCTGTGATTATGAGGTGGGAAGCTGTGACTGGTTAAGCTTTGGTCAGGAGCTAATCCCTGGCCAGTTACTACTCAGAGAGTTTGAGTCTGTAAAAAGATGGCATTTTCTACTTGAACTATATGGGTAGAAAGATAATAAGGAGAGAGGAGCAGTCTCCTAAAAGAAAGATTGCTGAGTACTAGGAGAAGGGAGGGTCAACCAGAACAAATAGCTGTTGCTACAGTGATTTAACAAAGATGACCTGTGATGAAACCAGTATTTGAATTCCGGACTATATTTTACTCCAAGTCTTATGCTTTGAAAATCATATAATAAGTTTCTAAAAGTAGACAGCAATTATTTTGATTATTAAGACAAGATCAATGTTTTATAAACTGTTTTGTACCCCATAATTCCTTTTAACAAATTTAAAAATTACTCCATCAATATTATTTAAAATTCTAAGTAGTGTTAATATTATGAGTAAAACAAAACCATAACATAGGCTCAAAGCCTGCTTTTTTCTTAATTACTTGATATCTTGTACATTTCACCTTACAAATCTTAAGATGGTAGAGATATCAGCATCTGCAGAGTGAAAAATAATAATCAGAGTCAGAAAAACCATTTCATGGTAGAGCTAGATTAGAATTCTGGTCTCCAGTCTTGCGAGTGGCTTTTGCCTACTTCATAGTAAGTTTATGCAGTTATCAACTTTAGGCTTCTGAAAGCTTAGCTTGGGCTTTGCATTTCTTCCTGGTTCAGATTCTAGGTTCCATGGAATCATAGCAGTCAACTTTTGGAACACCAGGGAGCTCCTTCTCTGGCCTTTCTTTATAGCTTTGGTATTTGTGGATTCCTCAGGATGTACTATTATCTTGGGAGTGAATAGGGCCAGAGAGATAGTCTAAAATGGAGGGTGTATAGGATCATTTCCCTTTTTTAGAAGTTACTAAGGTGAAGGCAATAGCTTTTCCTGATTTCCAAGATAAGCGGCAAAATGCTCACACACCTGTTTTGAAGTATATGTCTGTCTTATCCACATATACTGGTGGGCTCCTCAGGAAACTTAATCTAGATGTCTTTTTATTGTGGCACAGAATCTTGAAAAGAATTAAAATTTTAAATTACTAATGTTAAACAGAATGCTTGGATATTCTTGTATTGACTAATGTATCCATCACCTTTAGAAAAATATACTTGTTGTTTGAAAGAGAGGAGAATGTAAAGAACATGGTCAACCATGGTTAGTGTACCTAAATGTGTGTTTAGATATGTTTACTTGCCTGAAATGAGAAGGATAGCTATAGAGGTTAAGTGTCTGTGGAATACCACAGTATAACAATTTCGTATCTCTGAAATTATAATCTAAATTAATGAGAAAATTATTTGATTTTCAGTCTGGTTTATAGGACAGATTTTCATTAATAATGTTTTTTATCGAAAGTAATATAACTGGTCATTTTATTATTTTTAAAGTTTTCTGTTCAGTACTTATGTTATACTACTTGGTTTTGGTAAAAAAAAAGGACTTATGAGACCAGAATTTTACTAGATAAAAGTGGATTGAAAGTTAAGTTCAGTTGATCTCAGACTAAGAGAAATTAATCCCTAAAGATTCCCATATTTTATTTAGTTGAGAATGGTCTTCAGGATGTTTGACATCACCACCACTCCGCACCCCTGCCACACCCAAAATTATGAAGAGAAGTTTGTACTTTCTAAGCTTCCTCCATTTTAGCCAAACATAGACTGTTTGCTGGTTAGAGCTGAGAGTCCTTTGTAATCTGTTTTCTTTTTTCACTAAGTGAGCTTCCTTCTTTTGCTCTCCCATTCTTGTGTCTTGGCTGTGTTAAGTCAGCTCACTGCCTTCTTGCAGCCCTGTTTTCCTGCATGCACACTTTATCTTCTGACCAGGCACAGTGACAGCAGTTAACAGGGGAGCAAGAAAGGATTGAATACAAACATGCACATTAGTGTGTGCAGTTTTGGTCTATGATACCATGTTGCGTCTTCTGTTTTTGTCATTATCTGCTGTCAGAAAGGAGGAGCTGAGCTGATACTGACCTAGTGTGGAATGCCTGAGGATTTGGGATGAAGGGAGGAGGCTAGTGTTTCATGTGACTAATCTTTGACTTTCTGCGGCAGGACTGAAAACACTCTTCTCACTTAAGGAGGAAAGAAAAAATTTCTAAGATTTCACTTGCAGAATTTGTGGAGTATATTTAGATGTTTCTTCCTGTTTTTTTCTAGTTTTCAATTTTATCTAATTTTATAAGGATTGGAAGTGGGGAATGAACTTTGCTTAATAAGTAGATTGAGGTATTATGGGAGTAACGGGCTGCAACAATGATTCACATGGTAAGAGAATGTTTAAAATCTCCACTGACATCTTGACCCACATTTTGACCCATCTGACAAACGGTTAGTGAGCTCCTTGGCCATCTCAAGTATTTAAAAGTAACAGTATACAAATAGCTTTATTACTGTGCTTTTTTTCCTCCCATATAAATCTTAAGAGCATTGCACCTGCATATCCAAAACAGTTGATTTTTGTCTACATTTAAAATCTCACCTCAAAAAAGGTGAGAAATATAAATGTAGCATGTAGTGTTCCCTTAAGTATCTCCTTTGGTGTAATTTTCTCACTTTACTTTATGCCTCAGCTTAATGGAGGCTGATCCTCTGTTTGGGTTATGTCTGGGATGAAACTGAAATATAGCCATGAAGCTCTAAGAAGAAACTCTGCAGTACTAATCTGGAGGACTTATTGAATGGCATCCTCCCTTCTTATTGCCTTCTTTTACCTTTCCCCCACCCCCAAAATGTATTGCTGCAGAAATCTATGGCTTTTTCCTCTCATTTTGTAGAAAAAGAAAGTGAAAGGAGTGGGGGTGGGGTGTGTAGATTTCAGTACAAACGGGCATTTAAATTTGTTATGTCAAAAAAAAATAGCTCTGTTTTGTAATTATGAATCTAAGGTTGCTTAAGATTCACTTCAGGAATCCAGCTCTGATGGAAGCATGTAAGACTTTAGATAATGGTGTTTCAAACTAAAAGTGGATCCTAACATGTTTGACCTGAAGAGTAGAAAGAGATAAATGCTAATGTGATTCTTTTTTTACTTAGTGTACATTGTCTTATATATTTGATCAATTGGTATTTATGGGTGATCCTAAAATAGCTTTTGAGCAGATGTGGTATTTAATAGAGCAAATGGCCTGTGTTTTGACAATCTTTTTCTATTTTCTCTGTTGTTTCATTCTAAAATTGGTGCACACAAGTGAGATTTAAGAGGAAATTAACACTTCAGTAAATGTCCTTTTCCCTAATTTTGTTGACTGTTTCTATTAGCCATTTTCATTTTATTTGACAGTGATACTTAAGGGTTAAGCTTCAGAGCTGATGCAACTCCTCCTTTTTTTCACCAGCAATTTTCATTGGGCAGCATTTCCATAGCAACAGTGAGATCAGTGAAACCTGAGTGTTTCATTGATTATTTTTCTCCTCTTCCTTTTTTAATCTATTCTCTCTTCACCACATTTTAGTGAGAAAGCGATTTTTTTTTTACAAACAGAGCTTATATTGATTTCTATTCCATAAATAATTAAAAGAGGGTAGAAAAATCTGCCCTTCATTTAAAAATTGAATGTTTCACTATGTATTTAAAAAACGATTCAGGATTAGGAGGATGGATAACCATACCAGCTGTAGCTGATGTTCTCAAATATTCTTGCATTGTTTGCTGGTCTTCTAGGGAAAAGAATAATGTGGAACAGGACCTTAAGGAGAAAGAAGATACTATTAAACAGAGAACAAGTGAAGTTCAGGTATGTGAACTGTAAAATTCAGTATTCCATATCTGATTTAGGAGGATTCATTTTAAATGTATGGGGTCGTTTACTATGTGATGGTCGTGGTATTGATGAGTAGGTCAAGGGAATGCCTATTATTTATGTGATATAAATCTTCATCTTCTGCAAAATGATTATTTTTCTCCTAATTCTGGCCTGCAAAGATTACACTACAATGATCAAGCAGTATTTTTCAGTGTAAATTTCTAGCTTTAAAGGTATTTTAAGATGATATTTATTTGCATATTATATCCTTAAAGGTAAGTTTGAATGACTTATGATATAAATATTATTATGTCAATAAAACTGAATGAGTGAGATCATCATCATCATCATGAAAACGCAGATTGCTTTTCCATGGGTGTGAGATTTTGTTAACTAGGAGACCTAGTATTTTAAAGGACTGTCTCTCATAATACTGATAGGGTGGGAAATGATATGGAACAATTTACAGTAGTATTTTATAAGTTGCTTAGTAGCCAGGATATCTTAAACTTTGGCATAAAGAGATTTAATTCATTTTCACTAAGTGCTAAGTAGCTTCATTTTACAAATAGAAAAGACAATAAAACTTCAGTTTCTGATTGGGAAGTGACGCAAACGAGGTATTTCAAACATTAAAAATACAGAAAATTGGGCAGTGTTGCATTTAGAGCAGTAAGCAATGCATGTGATCATGTTATTGGAGCACCGTTTCTTAAATGCCACACCAGCACATACAGGAGGTTGGATATCAAAGCACTGGTAGCAGTTGCCAGTAAGAGCTCATGGATGGGCATTTCTTAACATGTTACTTGTATGTTGGATTTCCTTGTCCTGATAGTTTGAAATGGGCAAAAGCTCTAAAATTGTTAGATCCATTATTTTGTTTTAATGTAGCACATTCACCAGAGATTGTCTGACAGGTGGACCATGCTAGGGTGGGGAGAATGATTTACTGAGGGGCTGAGGAAGAAGCCAGAGAGAGAGAGACGTCTTATTAGAAGTTGATTCCATTATTGTACTTATTTTTCTGGAATTTTCTTAAAGGTGATACAAAGTTAAGAGATGATCACTAATATATTTCTCTTTGTGGTAGTGAGATATGGAATGGTTACCTCAATTACATTATTTTTGTGCAATTTTTGAACTTCTTAAGAAATGCAAAAGAGTCATAGACTTTAAGCAGTTATTGCTGAAAATAGCTTAAGAATGGAATATAAAATCTCAAAAGTTTTCTCAATCTGAAGCGGTAGAAATAGTTACTGATATAATATTGGACAGCTTCTAAATTTAGCTAGATAATGTTTCAAAGTACAAAGGTTTTTGCAGTAGACAGTATTTTTTTATTTGTGTACATCTATCTACGGTTTTTCACTATTGCATCTTTTGAGGATGGGAATTTTAAATAGCCACTTTGGGAGAACACTAAAATTTACATTGTTCTTTTCAGGCTAAATCAGCTACCCTCGAATATTTGATTTCTTATATTTATAGAAGTTTTGTTATCAGTCAAAATTGCTTTGTTATATGCTTGTCCTTCTTTTACTTAGTGGTGATGGTAAGGTATATGTTAATTCTTAAGCTTTGCCAAATCCAAAATGTGTGCTTGGCAGAGGAAGTCTAAATTGTTGAATTTTTTTGCATAAGGTGCTGTAAATAAAAGATATCTTGGGGCGTGGTTAGTATAGGCCAAGTTCTAATGGTTGAGCGTGCAAGTTCATTGAAAAAAAACCACAGGATTAAAGCTTTGCATTAGTAGATTCATTACTTATTCCACCCCAATACAGGTGTTGTATTGTCCATGGTAATGAGATACTAGATTAAGAATAACATGATAATTGACAACTACAAGTAATTAAAACTTTTCATTTTAGTGATTATTTTCAATTTTCTGGAGCAAGACAACTTACCTGAAGATGGTAACAAGTATATTGTATTACCTATTGAGTTAACTCTGATTTAGCCATTGGTAATGAGGCACAGAGTAGGAATAACATGAATAATTAAGATCTGTAACTAACTTGAACTCCTAATGCTTATTTTCTAATTTCTCTGGCAAAAGGCAGTTTACTAGAGCTTATTAATAACTATCAGAATCAAAGAACTTCACTGCTTCTGACACCACTTTCTAATGTAGGTGCTAATGAATAATGCCAGAATGAAGGCATCAAGGGAGAAGTAAGGGAATATTGACCATCAATAAACGTCTTTCTGCCTAATCCAAACTTGGCTTTTCTGAGTATTCTTGCTTTTCTCCATATTTATAAAGTCACAGATAGTGATTATATGAGCTCATATCTCAAGCACAGAAACCAAACTTTCAAAGCCTCTTTAGATGTGACCAAAGTGCCAAAAGATTAGTTTTTTTTAGCATTTATATAGTCTTCCTAATTCAGTTAAATTAGAAAATCTGCTACATAATTAATTTCTACATGTTTGTTTCCTGTATGTATTCCCATGAATTACCATCTTGAAAACTTACAGTTCAAGACTTTTTTCTTAAAGAGCAAACCAGCAAGTAACTTCCTATTTTATGTCGTGAGATGATCACTTAACTCATATGATGTACACTGCTAGTTTGTCAAGTTCCATGGAGAAATTAGGCCCAAAATGATCCAAGGAGGGGAAACTGTAAAAGGATATTCTATCTCAGATGTTTATGGTTTGAGCTTTTTGTTGTTATAGGGAGAAGGTAGACCCACATTCTTTCCTACCTTAAACTGCATATGTACAGTTTTATTAAAAATTTTCTTCAGGTAGTCAACACATATTTAGGAATTCACCCTCTCATATGTATGCTTTTCAGTTTTGCATAGAAGTTTATAGGAAACAACTTGGTATCAGACAAACTTAATTCAGTTCCTGGTTCTGGCTCTTCCAAGGTTTGAGATCCTAAGGAAGGAATTCAACCACTCTACATATTAGTTTTCTCTTCTGTAACATGAGATAATAAAAATACCAAACAGTTTGCTGTTAGAATAAAATGATATAATGCAGGTAAAGTGCCTCAGAGTGATTGGCACAAGGTAAGCGTTCAGTATATGTTCTAATTAATAGTAGTATTCTATATCTTACTGTCATCTCCGTTACTCTCCATCATCATGCTCTTTCTTCTCTGACTTCTATCTTCACATGGCTATATAGGACTAACCAATTTGAAAATACCTTTTTGTTGTTGTTGCTGTCACTTTAGCTACCAGCCTGTTTTTCTCTATTGTTGTTTCTTTGTGTGGCCCTTTTCCCCCTTCCTAGCTTTTCAGTAACCCTACTTAGTTTCCTGTTCACCCATACCATTGTGCTTAATTTATCTCCCCAGAACCAAGAATAATCTTAAGGCCAAATCCATTGGGCCTTCCTACATTGGTTACTGATTTCTTGGGTTGCATTCTCCTAGATATTCATAGCCCCACCTCTTTGACCCTTTGCTTCTGTTGCCTTTGCCAGGGACAGACGGACACACTCCGACCCCCTCTTTCCTCCCTTTTCCATACCCTCTGTCATCCGTATACTGATAACTCACAAATATTTGTCAAGCCCTCAGTTCTCTTGAGTGCCAGTCTGACATCTCCAGTTAGGCATTTTGAGGTTTATCATTTCAAAGCCAGTATATCTAAAATGAGTCTCATCTTGTTGAAAAAAATTGGCTTCAAGTTTTGAACTTTTCTGTTTCTGTCAGTGTTTTTCTTTCTCACTACTGCCACCCCTATCACCTAACATCTGAAATTTTGACGTCAGTTGTAAGTGCTTACTCCATCCTCCTCCTGACTTTCTTCCTAAACCAATTTTAGTTATGACTCTCAGATGTGAAAATCTTTACTGCTGCCCACTGCCACTGTTAATAATGGGAGGATGTCATCCTCATGGATATATTGGAATTGGAAAAAAAATTATAGGCCATCCTCTTGTACTACTTATTTTTTGATTGCCTGCCTCTGAACTGTGTGCCATACACATGCTCTTTTTTATTCCCACCCTTATACCTTTTGTTGTTGCAATCTAGAATGTTCCTTACCCCCTTGCTTATGTGAATTCTACCCACGCCTTAAAGTCCAGCTCAAACTGACCACTTTTCTAAACTTTCTCTTCTCTGTCCCTTCAGTCTATACCTGTCTTTCCTGTGTTGGAACTCCCAGAGAAGTGTGTGTACACTTATATGGCACGTTCAGTACGTTACCTTATTGTACTATTTTAATGTGTATGTATATAGATTCCAATATCTTATAGCTTATATTGTGAGCTCCTTAAGCTTAGAAATTGTACCTTGGATCTTATTTTTCACTATGTATGGTAATTATTCTTAGATGGAGGTAAATTTAAGGAAGATATTGACAGTAGAAATGAATAAACTTCCATTTTGTGCATGAAATTAAAAATAGGGCAAAACACACTCAGAAACCACAGGCAGAATGGATCAGGAGCACAGCTGGTATCATGAAGAGTCAGACATTTCCATATTGTTCATACTACCTTCATGAGAGAGAAGCTCCCAGTTATTTAAACTTTATCAGTAAAGATTTAGTAGTTCCTAGTAATTGCCCATATTTTTTTTCCCTAGATGAAGAAGGATGACTTATTTTGGGTAGAAATAAAATTAGATACATGAGCTCAACATTCTTTTCCTGGCGATAATGTTCTTAGAACATGCTGAGAAGCATATGATTGAGAAATAAAGGCAGGCTGTTAGTAGGGTTTTCTAACATCTACCCTAGTTTAATAGACTCCCTTTCTGGTCTTTGACTTAAACATCTTGCTCTATAGTTGATACTTTTTTATATGAAGACTATTCCTAGGGGCTTCCCTGGTGGTGCAGTGGTTAAGAATCCTCCTGCCAGTGCAGGGGACACGGGTTCGAGCCCTGGTCCGGAAGATCCCACATGCCGCAGAACAACTAAGCCCGTGCACCACAACTACTGAGTCTGCACTCTAGAGCCCGTGAGCCACAACTACTGAGCCCACGTGCCACAACTGCTGAAGCCCACGTGCCTAGAGCCCAT